ACATTCTTTGCATGAGAGACCATGAAAGAGAGAATGAGAGGAGGAGGGAGATAGGGAGCTAAGAGGAACAAACATAATCCCTTTCTATTATTATCTTAAACAATGATACAGACCTATATATGGATCTCTTTCATGTAAATCCTTGGATCTTGTCTAGTTATTGGCGGAATAACAATATTTTAAACACATATAGCAACACTTACATCCATCTGTCATTGATTGGGACATATATGTGTATGTGATCAATGAGTCTAGAAGCTTAGCTTTTACGGTAATAACAAGAACATTGCTGAATCATTAATGAAGAGGGTTTTGATTGGTTGCTTTTAGTTGTTTTTATTACATTCAATCGATCTAAAAAGCAAATTTTGCCCTCATCATTATGTGTAGTTGAAGGTGTGATGTACGAAGGACTGTTGTTGGCAACCAGTGTAGCTAGAAATTTAGGTCGAAAATGTTAAAATTCAGAGATGAAGATGAAGATTCATCTGCTGAATAGTTAATTCAAGAAACTCTGTCATTCTAAGATGAATGTTCTGTGCACTCTACAGAACAGTAATTGAATATGGAATACCCATTTGGCTTCCTCACAAAAAAAAACATATATATGGTCTCTGGAATCCATTTAAAGAGGTTTCACAGTTTTGTTTTTTTGTATGATCAGGCAAATTCTCTTACTTATTCTGAATGCTTACAAAAAATAAATCTCTCTCCACTGACTTTGATATTTGTCTGTTAGCTTTGTCATAAATCTTCTGGCTATATGATTTACCTGTTCGTTTCTTGCTTAGCCCAAGAGTTAGAACGCCTCATAAATTACTATATATTCAAGATTTTGCTATGTGTCTTTTATTTTACAAAATATTGTGGGAATCTTTCCTTTCAGAGGATAGAGACCTCTGTCTTAATACCTCAGTAGCAGTAGCTCATATTCGAAATGTGCTAAGGAACTATTTCTTTACTCTTCCTCCTATTGAAATGCAATTTAATGATGTGAATGTTATGCGTTGTCTGTTTGGAGCCAGAAGGGCATTAACTCTGCAGTATAGCATACAGTATGCATTAATGCTGTTTTGGCTCCAAAGAGACAATTTTGTTTTCCTCCCTTCTCACCATTCTCCCCTGTCCTCTAACTTCTCCCTCTCTCCTCTGACCTCTTCCTCTCTCCATCTCCATCTCTTTCTCTCTTCCCTTCTTCTTTTTCTCCTCCCTTTCCCTCCACTTTCCCGTCTCTCTTTTTCCCTGTTGCTCTCTTCTCTCTCTCTAAAATTTCTCTTTCAATTTTATCAAGCTTTATGATTAATAATATGCATGATGAAATTGAAACTGTATATATGCTACTTGATTAATGGTGAGAGACATGCTTGTTTTGATAATAATAATGATAAAGATGTGATTATGATATTGCTGTTATCATCATCATCGTGTATCAAAAGTTTACCACAGCGCTTATGAATCATTTGAATGATTCTCCTCTTTTCAAAAGCTTAAGATTTTGCTTTGCTGCCTCTTTAACTCTGTATTCATATTGTCTATGGTTCATTTTTCCCTTTCTTATCATAGCCTCTAATTCATGTTTCTTTTCTGTGAGGCACCAACACTCTCCCTTGCTTGCATTCTGTTTTTATATAGTACTAGCAGGACCCGCGGAAATCCCGCGGAAATAGAGGGGGGCGGGGGGTGTAAATAGATAATAGAGAGTGTCTAAATTTAAACCACCAAGAACTTTATTTGCCATTCAGGCCATTAAAAAATATACATGTTTAGCGTCCCCGCCCGCTTCCTTTTTGGGGGCCGCCTTTTACTTATTTATTTTTTGAAATTTTTTTGAATTTTTTTTTGTTTTTTGTTGTTTTTTTTTGAAAGAAAATAAAACAGCGTCCTGTCTGCTTCCTTTTTTGGGGCCGCCTCCTTTTTTTTTTTTGATTTTTTTTTATTTGAATTTTTTAAATTTTTTTGAAAGAAAAAAAACATGAAAAGCACTGCTAAAATGTATTTCTGATTTTAAAAAAGAAAAAAAAAAAATTGTCGTCCGCCATCTTGAAAAATAGCCCGAATGTCAGGGAAAATGTACGGAGCGGCCATTTTGAAAGAAAAAAAAAAAAAGGGCCTCCTCCTTCCCATTTTTCGAAAAAAACAGGACGCTAAACATGTTGTTTTTTTAATTTGGCCTTATATAAAAAAATAAAAAAACAATCCAACTGTACCGGTAGTTATTCTTTAAGCCACTGGAACTGCGTAGAGTTCCGTAGTGTGGCGTACCGACTACGCAGAACTTAGGCTGCGTATTAATGGCATAGTCCCTGCGTAGGTTATGCGTAGGCTGGCGTACAGGTTTGCTTATGGTTGGTTACTGTGTGGACAGATTTTACTGCTTTGTCGATCTGGCGTAGGGTAGCATACTGTTGCGTGGGCATGAAGCGTGCCGAAAGCACGCGAAAAAAATTAAACATGTTGAATTGTTTTCGTTCATCTTGCGTACCCCTTTCCGTCCCTCAGCATATAGTAACGTAGGCCAGCCTAGTTAGTACGCAACACTACGCAACTCTACGTATTGACCCCACGCCAATTAGTGACCTGCAAGTGTCACAAATAAAGTATTAAAAATATGCTCATCTGACCCTAATTAAACGCCTAAAACCCCCGAGCTTTCGGGGGGTTTATGGCCCCTTGAAACCCATGGACCCCACGCCTATATTACATATACACTTAACTCGCTGCGATCTGATCTCTCCCCCCCCCCCAACTTTGAAGAACGTAACCCCCGAGCTTTTGGGGGTTTATGGCCCCTTGAAACCCGTGGACCCCACGCCTATATTATATATATACACTCAACTCAGGACCTGCGGAAATCGCAAGATTCTAGAGGGGGGCGCAGGCAAAAAATTAATTTTTTCATTTCGGGGGCTCTATTTCAAATTTTTGGGAAATTTTCGTGGGCTACTTTTTCAACTTTCGGGGGCTCTTTTTTCTGGGGCTACTTTTTCATTAATTCATAAAAGGATAGGCCTACACTTTGTTGAGATTTGTTTAGTAAGCTAAGGTTTCAGGCTTCCTACTTCATAATTGCCTATTTAAAAAAAAAAAAACATTTTTCTAGTTCAATAACTAAGTTTTCATGCATTGATTTGATGCAAGAACTGTAACATAATAGACCCTAGATTGTGATTATTTTTTACCATGAATTTCGATAATCATTTTTCAAAGTAAAATTTTCACAAGAAAATCAGACAGTCGTTTAAAAACGTAGACATTAGTAATACTTTTACTAATTCTAAGCTCAGGTTTCGTAAATCTATTCACGAAACTATATTGAAATCGCGGCAATAATCATGCAAACCAACCGATAACAATTTCAAAGTGTCAAATCTCTTCGACTCGATCTCAGCTCAGCTACTACAGCGTAACTCCAGGAAGCTCGAACACCGGCGCCGCAGGCGTCGGACGCCTGCGGTGCGGGGTGCCGGTGTTGGAGCTTCCCGGAGTTACGCTGCACTGTGTGTACTGTATGGGTGTTGACTGAAGGCAGCGTGCGACTGAACTGTCAGTCCAATGGTTTTCTTGTGAAAACTTTCCTTTAGAAAATGATAATCAAAATTCAGTATACATGGCCGTAGTAATCACAAAATAAGCTTTGATTTCATACCTCCATTCACGAAAACTATATAAAAATCGCGGCAATCATGATGGAAATAGGTCTCTAAGTTTGGACGTCGACGGGAATTAGCCCCGCGTATCTCTCTGGCTTGTGCAGCTCGTACAAAGCACTCCCTATAGCAAGAGGGCTTACTCGGGGGGTAATCCCGCCCTTTGCATAGAGCATTTCATACCCAACATAATGTGAGTTGCTCGTCATCTGTCGTGTCTCTCCTTGATACGGATGTAATGTTGAATATGCATGAGGTATCTCTGTCGTCACGCATATCCTGCATTATGCATGTCGCGTCTGTTTTCGCCCTGGACGTCGACACGGAGGAGGACCTCGGGCGGAGTATAGCCAATTCGACAGAGTAGACTCTCCCGCGGACGACGGCACCGGTCACCGGTACCCCGAGGGGAGGGTTCAGGAGGAGATAGCTGCACCAACTTGGGTCGGCGATCTCATTAAAAAACAATAGAATACAAAGGCCGGCGGAGACGTCATGCCCCCCCCCCCCCCCCCCCCCCCGCGGAGCCTTAGCGTATTACTATTATAGATTATCAATGGTAAAATGTATGGTATTAATAGAGTCGATAGTATTTCATACTTCCTTTGTCTCTGCACATTTTTGTTTATATCTAACTTTGCCCGGAATTCAAAAAATTTAATAAATATCTGCAAATTATCAAATTGCCAGCATGAGGATGAGCTTTAAAGCCCCACTACACCACTTACAGGTACTTGCTCCCTCTATATAGCAAACAATGCCTAATCGGTGACCGTTGGTCCCCCATGGTCACCTATTTCTCATGTTAATTGAGAGCTGATTTGATGAGATAACCACCTCTCAGTGACCATGCAGGGAGGTCTAATCCCTCCTGGCCAAACTAGTGCAGATAGGCTTTAAGCGTAGGATGCATGAAATAGACCTGAGTAGTATGTATGTACGTATAGTCCCAAAATATGATTTATGATATTATTGATTAATCGATTAATATGAAATCAATAATCAATAAATATGAAATATGGATCGATAATTATGGATCAATAAAATCGATAATTGATAAATATGAAATATGGATTAATTAAATATGTATTAATTAAATATGGAAAAAGCACCCCACTACCTTCCTCTTAAATTGTTCAACTTTGAAACAATCGACATTATAATAACGAATGAAACGGGTGAGGTAGTACCATTTGAACGTGGGAAAGTGCTAGTTACGTTACATTTTCGAGAACGCTCTTCGCGATTATCCTAAATAAAAGTATGTACCCTTACGCAACGAACCGTGTACTCCGTAGTCACGTGTTCCATAATCAGATGGGGCGTGGTCTACCCATATTCAGAGGAGCCGCTATGCAACGTGGACACGGTCTAGGGAGCCTGGTCAAGGGTCTTTTTCGTGCAGCTACTCCTTTATTGAAGAAAGGGGCCTTTGCATTGGGAAAGGAAGCCATGTCGACGGGTGTCAATATTATGCAAGACACCCTCAGCGGTCAATCATTGAAATCTGCGGCTAAGAGAAATGTCAAGAGAGCTGGAAAACGTTTGGCGGGTAAAGCTATGGGAGGTGTGCGCAAGAAAATTTAGGCAAAAGCGAAACAAAGAGGAGGTGCTCGCTTTCTACTCGTGAGAGATGTTAAAAAGCAGTCGCGGGGTAGAAAACGTGTCATTAAAGCTAAAGGCTGGCGTACGAAAAGACCTCGCGTGGAAAATATTTTCGATTAATAACGACTGGAGTTGAACTGTATAAACATGTCTCTTTTACATGAAAAAAGCGACGCTTGTTGTAAATCTGAACTTGATTTGTTCACGGTACCACACACTCAACTTAGTATTACCAAAGGACCCTTTAAAGAATATCACCCCGTCAGTAATATAACCGATACAGGACCTATTGAAATCAACGTCGCTGGAATGGCCGAAGAGTATGTCGATCTTTCGCAAACCATGCTACAAGTTTCTGTCAGAGTATTGAAAGCAGACAATACGCCTATCACCGCCGATGACCCCGTAGCACCCGTGAATCTCTTCCTCCCTTCACTTTTTAGTCAGGTGGATGTCATGTTGAATGAAAAACTGGTATCACAACCCTCCAATACATACCCTTATAGGGCATTAATGGAGACGTTACTACACTACAGCAAGGAGACAAAAGACTCACAGCTTACGCAACAGCTGTATTACAAGGATGAAGCGGGGAAAATGGAGGTGGTAAATCCTTTATTGCAAGGAGAGCACGGGAATCAAGGACTCGCAAAAAGACACGGATTCATCGCTGAGAGCAGACTTCTTTCTATGCTGGGACCCATCTACGCAGATGTGTTCTTTCAAGAAAGATTATTATTACCGGGGGTTGATTTGAAACTCAAGTTGAATCGTAGTAAAGACGCATTTTGTCTTCTTTCTTCAAAAGCGAACGCGGACTACAAAGTAAAGATCGAATCTGCTGCCCTCTTCGTTCGCAGAGTCAAGACGAGCCCTTCCATCATGATTACCCATGCCAAGGCCTTGGAGAAAACAACTGCCAAATATCCACTCAACAAAGTGGATGTACGCTCTTTCTCAATTCCTACTGGAAACATGTCCATCAACCGAGACAACCTATTTTTAGGACAACTACCGAACCGTATCGTCATCGGGTTAACTGACAACGACGCCTACAACGGTAGTTATGCCAAAAACCCCTACAACTTTAAACATCTGAATATCAACTATATATCAGTGACGATCGACGGAGAAATGGTTCCCATGCGCCCTTTACGGCCCTGCTTTGAAGAGGGAGCGGGTCAGCACTATATACACGCTTACAATTCCTTATTCATGGGTACAAATCGTCTTTTCGCGGACAAAGGCCTGGATATAAATAGAGAGGAATATCTTAAATGGTTCACTTTATTCGCTTTTGACCTTACCCCGGATGTGTCAGACGGATGTCATTTAAATCTGATTAAAAGTGGTAATTTACGTCTTGAACTACAATTTGACAGACCCCTCCCCAACACGGTCAATTGCCTCGTATTTTCAGAATCCCAAGGACTGATCCAGATCGATAGAAGCCGCAATCTCATTTATGATTATCAGGGTTGAGAAAATAAAAGGATGGGTACTTCACAAATTCAACACGTGCTCGTGAACCACCCAGCCACGAAAGACCAGTTTAAAGGCGTTTTCGCCTTGGACCAACTTCCACGTAGGGTGAATGACAATATTGGATGTTACGTCGTAAATACAGACCCAAGCACCAGCCCCGGTACCCACTGGGTAGCGTTATATTTCAACTACGGGAAGGGGACTTTTTTTTACTCGTATGGAAACGCCCCTTTGTATTATGACAGGAAGCTTTATAGTTTTATGATGGGAAAATCTATAACAATGGACTATAATGAAAAGAGACTTCAAGGAACCCTTTCTTCCGTGTGTGGACAATATTATATATTTTATCTCATTGGTCGTTGTAAAGGGTATACGACGCGGGGTATTTTAAAGGGGTTTGGGAAAGACCACAGTAGGAACGATATGAAGATAAATGATTGGTTTAACAGGAAACATAATACATCGTTGCCCGTTCTTGACATTAATTTCACTCTTCGGCAAATTGCACGAAGTATCGATGAATTGTAAATAATCCGCTCGCCTATCCTACACGTTGATTTGTTTTACTTTGTAAATATACATTTTGTTTTAAGTTTATACTAAGTAGACTATGCCTTTATATATATATCATTATATATTTATATATTTATAAGTGTTTTATAGTACGAAATACATCAGAATCCTACGGTTATCTTTTTTCTCTCTCTTCTCACCAACACCTCTTTCTACATCACGAACACGTTCGCTACATTTCTCTTTCCTGTCATGCATTTTATCTCTCTCTCTCTCTCTCTCTCCCTCTCTCTCTTTCTTTATCTTTTTTTCCTCTGTCAAAAAAAATAATAATAAAAAAAGTTCTTTATATGTCTCTCATCTTTCACACCCATTCTCTCTTCCTCTGCCCCTCTTTCTGATAGTACATGTTACGTCTACTCTTAAAATATAAAAGAATACATGAAGAATGAATACACGAGAGAACCAGTTGTAAAATGTATTAAAAATATTTTAAAAGTGTGTTGTTTATTGAATAAAATTTCGTAAAGAAATCATTTTGTTTCAGTGTGTCGTTCTTACGTTGTCACGTCTTATATTTTCAAACTGAATAGCACTACAAAACATATAATGCATGTAGACTATATACAATATATACATCAAGTCAGGTTACAACTTGCATAGTGTCATTACGGTTGTGTTTGTAAGCTGTCCCTATCTTAAGTATGAAAATGGTATAACCATCGAATATATACACGGTACACAGCAAGCAAGAAAAATAATAAACAAGATTTAAATAATGAATAAAATAAAAAACAACATCAACAAACTAGTTATAGTATAAACAATAAGATAAACGTCGTTCTACAGATTCGCCGTTTTACCGATTCGTCATTCCACTGATTCGCCAGTTTAACCAACATAAAACATACTTTTTTTAGTATACGTTTCTAGTCGTATAAACAATATTATTTTACACAGCCTAAACTTTATACAATTCATTATGAAATGAAAAAAGAAAAAATTATTATAAACGCTACTAAAAGACAAGAAAAAAAAAAAAAAAGAAGAAAAAAAAGAAAACAAAATAAAAAAAAAGAGAGAAAATAAATAAGACATAGTGTTTACACCCGTCTATTAATAAGGATCCCACTGGTAGGTTTTAGGACCATTTCTGTTTACTTTTACACGTTTAGTTTTTGTTTTGGGAGGTGTCGAGTGCTGTACATCGGAGAGGGGAGATTCCCATGGCGCTGTCGGGGTAGACTTGGATCCGGGGTTGCCGCTTCGTTTCCACCGTTGTAGATCGCTACGTCGTCGTGGGAAAAAGTCTCTGGAATGTTCATATTCGCCAATACACCGATAAACTGGTCACTGCTAGTAGGGGTATAGCCACGACGTTCCCTGAATATGTCATACATGACGTCGCAAATGTTACTTCCAGCAATAGTTTTGTTATCTATGATAAGCTGACCGTTTTCAGTCCAATCGATGTTTTTATCGTTCTTCAACTTTTGCAGCAATTGACTGGTTCTCTTTGCAAATGTTTTTGGTACATGGTCCAATAAATCACGGTCTATTTTTGTCTCGTGAGGCGTGTCGTGCGAAACAGCGTCTAAGCCCTTCGGTGAAGAGGTACTATCGGAGGTTGAAATTGTATTGTCAGTAAGCTCTAGGGCTAACGGTTTCTTCAATGCATCATTGGCTTCGAGATAATGATGTAAGTGTTGCGAATATAACTGGGCTTTTGTATGTTCGTCCATGTCACCGCGTTCTAAAATAGCACAAATTTGACTGTCCAGATTATTCACCTGCTGTTCAGACGATGTTGTAGTTGAATTGTTCTGTAGCGTGTTGAGCATCGTCTGTGGAACAAGAACCATTTTCTGCGTGTGCTCCATATCGGATTGATTATAGTTCATTTACCGCCGGACAGCAACGATGTGATACCTCCGAGTACAGGGGCTATTATTCTTGCAAGCAATCCAAGAAATCCTCCGCGTTGATTCAAAATGTTCTTTCTTTCTTTCAACGGTGTTTGACGGTTTGACAGTTTTCTTAACTTGAGTTTATGTTTACCCAATGTTCGTTTCTGAGTTCCTGATATTTTAACGTTACCACGTATCACGTTGAGCACACATTCACAAATGGCATCTATAAACCCCTTGTCCGCGCTTTTGATGAGTTGTGTACGCTGGTTAGCTATACAATGTGCCAGAGTCTTTAACAGCGCCGCATGGGTCTTGATCCGTCGAGACATGTTGAATAAATAAAGCTGTTTGTAGCGTAAGGTGCGATTTTATACCCGAGGTACGTAGGCAACTTGGGTTTCTCCCGGGAATATATGAGTTCTCAATCGTACCTCCTCCGGAGTGTCTGCTCTCAGATCCACAAACAGGTAACCCCATTTCTCTTTGGTAGTGCCTCGTAGGCTTCCCTGAAGAATTTTTGTCGCCCCGGATACATCTGCCTCCCAAGACATGTAACCTGTAATTTATCTCTACAATTCTTGAATAAACAATAATATTGCGTATTTAATGAAATGGTCCTTGATTCCTTCCCACGGTGAAACAGATTTTGCGTGATATAAATTACGCTTACATTCCTATGATGACACCCCTTTGTAAATAAAGCTGCCACCCTTTTATCGTCGCCAGCCACATCCATCAAATCATCTATAACAAATAACGTAGGACATTCGCTATCGGTCAGACTATTAAAGTCAGCGGGGAGGTTTTCATGAAATTGAATATTTGGAATAGATTTACTCATTTCCAGGTAGGAGGGTTGAAATTCACTATAAAACCAAACCACTTTGTGCGGTGGTTTATCTATCATGGTGGATGCATTTTTTAAAAGACGTTTTACAAATTCAGTTTTTCCAACAAAACTAGGTCCAACGACCATGCATGAAAAGCTATGTTTTAAACGAACGTCCATGTTAGAAGGAGTCAAATATATTTATATACAATGAAGATTTAAAAGAGAAAGAAAAAAAAAAAAAACACAGATATAAAATCATGAAACAATGCACAACGAGATAAGTGAACGTGAATATTTCTTATCGCAAACAAGAGATGTGGGTATATGCGCATGAATATACAATACAATTTATTAGTTACTACTTTAACGCTACAACGTAGAGGTTGGGAGAGGGATAACGTACTGGGATTTTACACTGACGTTTTCATACAGTTTAGAACCGTTTGAATAGGTATTATTTGAAACTGTATCCTGACTCTCGACACTTTCTAAAATAGTTGCTTCCAGATAAAAACTGAAAAATAACGTTGCGATCAAAAGTATAAAAACAACCACGCTCCAAAGGGAGCCTTGACTTCTACGTGTTCTTCTAAACAGGGCATGCAAATCATTAACGTATGCTGCATCCGTCTTGGGTAATATATAGTCAAGAAAAAATGTAATTAGAAAATAAACGTCTTTTACCAAAGACAAGAAAAAGCGTAACAAGAGAGAGAGAGAGAGGTATACTATGTCAAATACACGACGCTTAGAAATGGATATTCTTAAATGAAAACCAGCGCTTGAATGAGGTAGAAAAAGGCATGTCAACTCTATTTATACGGTAGGTATAGGAGGTATATCAACATGGCCGTACGGTAAAGTTTTGCCATCTTCAAGACGGACCCTCTTCGTGAACACAACCCTGTAATTCTTAGACCTCTTCACCGTATGGATTGTCTTGGCTTTCACATCCCTGATTATTTTTGATTCGTGAATTGTACGCGTGGTCCCTTGTTCACTCTGAAGGAGTTCATTTAATGTGTCATGGTTAATGACCAAAGAGTTCATTGCATTCAGAGTGAAACCTCTTACTTTACAAACAGTTATCCCTTTGGAAGTCCTGTAGCTGTAATTCTTTGGACCACCGCATAGCCATGATTGTATAAAATCCTCGCCAGTGTCGTCGATCTCATCGGTTAGATCACCAAGAAAATTCCCGGTGACGGGGTCTAGATGGGCGTGTTCAGGGTCAGTCTTGAACACCACGCTGTCTGTGTCCATATATAAAACCCTATCGTCCAGCTTTTCCAACACGCTATACAATTTCAAGCGCGCTAACGCTGTTGTAAAGCTGGCCAATATAATGTTGGTATTGACATTATGGTCAACAAACCCCTCCGCTTGTGTGTAGTGTAGCTCTACCATATACTCATTGTGTACGATCAAGTCTTCTACGATTATCGATTGGTCCCTTAGATAGGAGAGAATTTCATCGGTGGTTTTAACATACACCGTTTTACGCAAATTTGGGCGCTCCGTAAATTTCCCCCACAGTACATTGACGATTGCTTTAGCAATAGCGCGCAAACCAGGATTTTTGCAAATTAGAAAAGGGTCAAGATTGATACCCTCGTGTTCGAAATAATCGTCGATGTACTTTTGTTTTGCTGCATCTGACTGCGCATGCACGGGGTAACCCGATGACTCCTGTTTAACTTTAATGAAGGAGTCAATGTAGGGAGAAAATAAACCCCCTT